TGTTGTCATAAGGATGCAGCAGCAGCTGTGTGTTCGACTTGAAGCAGACCGATCGGTATATGACATCAAAATTCCTGCGAGACTGACTTACCCTTTATTTACACTGCACGCTTCTGCGGCGCGTTGCGGCTCCGACGCGGCCACCAGAGCTATATGCTTGTGTTTACACCAGCCGTGCCGCGGCACATTTCAGAAGTGCGCTGCTTCGCTAAAGATAGGCGTCTCGGTAAGAGTGTGAGCTTGAATATGCTCTAGAACCGCTCTCGCGATACTTTGATGTCATACACCGATCGATCAGTCTGCACAGTGCTGCCTGAAGTCGAACACACCTATTGGGTTTGTGATGTTGTTGTGCGCACTAGGGAACGTAAATGCGCCATACGTCATTGCGTCGCTATATCATTGATATCGCGATATGGCACTTTTTTATCATGTAAAAATGTATACCGGTATTATTGTGGACGGTATGATATGGCCCACCCCTACTGAGAAAGAATAAATCATAATGTTGAATGTAATACAATAAGTTAGAGAGTTACAATCATCCCAACTGCGCAACATATAAGCCAAATACTTATAAATCATAAATCACTGTATGCCCCAAATGAGCACATATGAAGAAAATTATGAATGCACCGATATGAACATTTTGGCCTATACGATTCTTTATATTTGAAAGCCGATAAAAGATATGTTGGCCGATAAATCTAAATCCAAATTTTTAAGTAATTTTTGAGAGCCTAATTACAAAAAAGTCTCACCATTAAAAGCCATGTCCCAAACACTTCAACATAAATCAAACATACACAGTACAGCAGCCTAGTTTGAACCAGTGTAAGTTTTAAAATTAATTTTGCACTCCTATTACCAACTTTCTTTATAAAAAAATAATTATTGCCTTACACATAGATAAAATAATGCTTAATGCAAACAAATCATTGGACAACATTACTTACACGTAAATAATCTAAATGCATGTGCCATGGATAAATAAAACGAAATAGCCTCCGCACGGACAATAATGAAATTATTTTAATTAAACCATATAAGATAAAAAGAAAAGTGGCATAATGCATCAATGATTTTGAAAAAGAAACATCTTAAATTAATTCCACTGTTAAACAGCAGCATTGCTGTTTGAGCTGCGTGCGCTGTAGCTGAAGAATCAATGAACACTGGTAAACTGAAGCGCTTTGTTAGTGGGTTAATTGGGTCATATGAGAATCAGATATTTATACATCATAAACATAATATTACAACTTATATATGCAAGTGAACTCGAACTAAGTTATGTGCTAGTCAGAATGTGTAACTCCTGTTGTGGATGCGCTCTTGGCTCTTCCCATAACAACGTGCTGAAACACGGCAAATAAACTAGTGCTGTCAAATTGATTAATCGTGATTAATCGCATCCAAAATAAAAGTTTGTATTTACATATTATATGTGTGTGTACTGTGTATATTTATATGTATATATTATATAAATACACACACATGCATGTATAAATGTAAGAAATATTTACGTGTGTGTGTGTATATATTCATAATTATATATGATTTATATTATATATAAATATAAATATTACATTTATTTCTTAAATATATACACGTATGTGTGTGTATTTATACACTGCCATTCAAAAGTTTGGGATCAGAAAGATTTGTAATGTTTTTTTAAAGAAGTCTCTTCTGCTCATCAAGGCTGCATTTATTTGATCATAAATACAGACAAAACAGTAATATTGTAAAATATTATTGCAATTTAAAATAATGGTTTTCTATTTTAATATACTTTAAAATGTAACTTATTTCTGTGAGTCAAAGCGGAATTTTCAGTATTATTTCTCCAGTCTTCAGTGTCACATGATCCTTCAGAAATCATTAATATATTGGAAACAGTTCTGCTGCTTAATATTTTTTTGGAACCTGTGATACTTTTTTCAGGATTTTTCAGGATTCTTTGATTCTGTGATGCAACCTACATTATAATTATTTGAAAATCTGTTAATAAATTCTTAAAACACAAAAGAAAAATATTGACATCCAAAATATGTTTTACACTTTTCAAAATTATTTGTTTATTAAAAATTTGTTAAAAAGTGATCAATGACAGTTAGAGGTAGGCAGAGAGAGAAATTTACTGAGAATATAAGTGTCATCATTCGAGGTCAACGGTTGCATTAAAAAAAAAAGTCACTTACTGAATAAAACCCCCAAACATTTACATATTATTCAAAATGCTTTCCGCAAAACCTGGTCTACTGCAATTCCTTTAGGACTTATATCAACATTCCCACAGTAAGATGGTAAAAGTGATGCTAAAAATGATTCTAAAAACGTTTAGAGCATCCCAACAAAAACAGATTAAAAGAAAGATGAGCGTAAGCAGAGAAACAAAAGATTCCCAGTGTCGTCCATTGGGAATAATTCACTGGCTACTGTACATTCATTCAGGGTTCTTTTTCACATTGCAAGAGCAGAATAAAATAAAAAAATGCTTAGTAAAACTGAAAGAGCTCTTGCAAATGTCAATGTCACAGTAAAGTACCAAGCATTACAATATTTTACTGACAGATACAAATACAGCATGATGGAAAATGTATTTCATAATGCATGTGTTTTAACCTGTCAAACTCCCTGTGAGTAGCTGGATCTTTTGGGGGGATGGTTGTTGTTGTGTTACTACAATGACATTCACGGGAACAATATATTTCACAATATAGTTATTTATATATATAGTCATTCTGAAAAACGAAAAAAGGGCTTTATATAAATAAATGAACACTTGATTTTTCTTTTTCTTTAATTTGGTAAATGATTTACTTAGTAAAAAAACACACTCAACTTTTAGATTAACTGATTGACATTAAATGCAACTTGAAAAAATCTCATGTTATTGTTTTACTTCAATCAGTTTATAATATCTAGGTATTTTATATTGAAATATTCCATTCATAATAAATCACATTTGCTTCCTTTTAATTTTGTAGGATACTGTTAATACTTGTTATATTGTTTAAATTTATTCCCTGGTATCTGCTTATTATACTGTGTTTAAGGGGCTTGTTTTGCTCTTTTTGTAATAATTGGCAACCCTTCAACTGGAGCTTTAATCAAGAGAGGGAAGAGTTCAGTGTTGACTAGGAGAGCAGCAGTATGCAAACTGAACATTAGCTACTGTTAGTGCTGACTAAGTAGTTTAAATTATACACACCTTATAACCGCGTCATTATTTGACTTATGTACATTCGCTTTAGCAAGCAGGTTGGTCATTACCACGCCAACCGCTTGCGCGTCCACACTGAATGTGATTCTCATGTGTAAAAATTAACTGTACATAAGAGGCGGAGGTAGTCAACTAAGCTTAATTCATAACGCTTCCTCCGTTGTGAGTCTGTGCGCTCCTCTAAACTGTCAGGCTGCTGCACTGCTCTCGCAGTTGATTGCTGCACCTTTATTCCGACAATTTCACATTTGAACAACCCTTTAGAAAATTGAATGTCAATTTCGCCATTTGTCTTTGACAAATGGCAGCATCTCAGTCTCACGCTCGCTGCACGTGAGTTAACCACGCCCACTTATTTGCGTTATACACAGAATTAAAAAATCTGTTACGGTTGACAATTTATACCGTGGTCACGATATATACCATCATACCGCCCAGCCCTATTTGGTTACTTAGTTGGGAAAGTTGCTTCTGGCATTTGGTGTATGTGACAAAAAATGAGAGGTGGAAGTGTGAGAAAGAGCAACCAAGAGCGAGTTGGACGGAAACAAAAAGAGTGTGTGTGTGTGTGTGTGTGTGTGTGTGTGTGTGTGTGTACAGAGTGCATGCCAGCCATTTATCAGCCATTTATCTTGAGGTCTGACTGGCGTCCGGTGTGGAGTGACAGCATTGTAGTGAAAATTCAGGCAATGAAAGAAAACTACAAGGATACTGGTGTTTTATGCTGTACAGTACACACAGAGCGGATGTTAAATGTTAACAGTAGTGCCTCTCTCAGCTGTATCCTGTTTAAAACTGTATCACTAACAATGCAACTCTGGCTGGGATTATATCAGGTTAGGTTGAAGGTTACCTCAAAACTCTAGTGAGCTAGTGCTATTGAAAGGTTTTACATTGTTGTTTTTCTGAATTTCTGTTTTGCAGTTCATTATTATAAATAAATAAGTAAATACATAAATAAATCAAGCAATTGGGCAATAAAAACATTAATAAAACTTATAAATAAATAAACATATTTTATAACATTATTGTAATATTATCGCCTGCAGTTCATTTTCATTGAATAAATAAAACAATAAAAGAAACTGAAATGTCTTTTGAACTGAAAGTTTTTTAGATTTTATTTCAGTTAATGTTTATTTTATTATAAATAAATAAGTAAATACATAAATAAATCAAGCAATTGGGCAATAAAAACATTAATAAAACTTATAAATAAATAAACATAATATTTTATAACATTATTTTAATATTATCACCTGCAGTTCATTTTCATTGAATAAATAAAACAATAAAAGAAATTGAAATGTCTTTTGAACTGAAAGTTTTTTAGATTTTATTTCAGTTAACGTTTATTTTATTTCAAGTAAAGAATTTTTTTTAACGGTTTTAATTTTAGTCTCAGATTTAGTTTACTATAATAATCCTGTTTATATTATTATTATTATAGCAATAGTTTGTTTTTTTATTTATTTATTTAGCTTTGCAGTTCATTAATATAAAATGTATAAATGGATAAATGAATGGACATCTTTAGCAAATGTCACAACCGTGATGTTTTGTTGAGTGTCTTGCGCCGTTGTATTCCTAAGGTTAATTTAACAATAATTCCACTTTTAGAAACAGTGTGTTTTGTACTTCAACTAAATTATTCAGGTTACTTTAAGACTTATTAGTCGATGGATCATTCCGACAACCTTCTGACTAGTTGCTTTTGAAAACACAGCTTTGCACATGCCTAGCTGCTGCTGAGTGGTGCACTGTGGGTAATTACCTGTCTATAGGACGGGGTTCTGCTCTTGGGCTTGTTGCTGTTGTTGCTCTTGAGCTGGTAACAGAAGCGTAAAGCAGCCAGGTCCTTCATTATGGAGGTGAGCGCCTCTTCATCATCTGGAAGAAACAAACAAGTTTATGCTATGCTGTGACTGGATCTTCAAAGATGCTGAAGCAGCTGGATGACTGTCAACTTAAACGACCTGATGAGAAGAAAATTAAACCAAAACATTCACTTTTTCCATTTATTTGTTACAGCAGCATCACCAACCCAGAAACTGACGTATTGTAAAAGAAAATGTGAGTGGCATTTACCCATGCACAACTCACTGCCACAAACCTATAGGGTGTTGTCGGTGGTTGTCAGGTGTTGACATGAATTTATAAGGTATTCTGAGTGGTCTTTAGTGCATTCTAATGTGTGATGCTAGGGTATTCTGGGTGTTCTTTTAGCTTATTGCTGTGCAGTTTTAGGTTGCTCAAGGGTGGCTTTTAGCACAATTCTATGCAGTTTCTATGGTATTCTGTTTTTTTTTTAGCACGTTGCTATGCAGTTGCTAGGGTGTTCTGGGTGTTTCTTTAGCAGTATGGTGTTTTTTCAATGGTTCAACAGTGTTCTAGTTGTTTGCTTACTGTACAATGTCAAAACAGCCCATCTTCAAGCTAAACGACACCGTCTAGACTCGGTTCCTTAAATGTACTGTAAGTCTAAGAAAGTTTTTGCCAGTTTTATCGTGAAAACCATAAGTCACACAGTTCGTTCAAATCACTAAGTATGAGCAATTTGCCCCACAAAACAGCACTAAAATATGATTTAAATAGACTGTTGCTTGATTAGATTCACTTACAATTCTGAAAATCTATTTAACGCCATGTTCACGAGTTCTAGGAAAGTTGAAATCATCATCTATTTTAGAGACAAGTGCAAATGAGGTGTCTTTCACACACTCATCCCAAGCAACTCTTGTGTTTTGAACTACTATAATAGAAAGGTCCTGTTTGGATCTCTTTCCCATTCATATCTCTCATTTTATTTGAATACCAAGATGTCATTCACAGCACTCAATGTTCACACAGTGTCACATACCGTGCGGTACACAAACCGGCCCACTGTTTCCTTATTCTATCTATTTTCCATCAGTGCAGATACAGATGCAGACACACCTCTGACATATTTCCATAATAGTGCTGATGTGCTCCTCTTTCTATAGTGTGATCAAGGATGTAAACCAACAGGCCACAGAGAGAGAGAGAGAGAGAGAGAGAGAGAGAGAGAGAGAGCGCACAGGGACGGACACGTGGCCAGACACAAGAGATCACTTTATATTAGCACTAAAGGTTTGGTCCCATTGATGGGCTTGTTCTGCTTTGGTGCATTAAACACTCTACATGACAAGCGCAGCGTTAGAGAGAGAATTTTAATGATGCAACATACATTAAACAAGATAAGCATTACAGCAAGTCTGAGCTTCAAAGAGCCAGTCAACTAAAAAAAACTAAGCACTGAATCAACCAAGAAATTTGGAAAACAAAGTGTTTTTGTTTTAACATGGCCTTTGCAAAGCGAAAGCTAATAGGTTTTCTTTTTTACCCAACAATTAATGGGAAACTTTTATTACAGTATGTTGGATAAAAGCCTCAATGCTTTATCAAAAGGACACGGGAAGGTTTTTGCAAAGAATGTATCGGAGCAGCTCATGTGTGTCTTGAATTCTTAACCGGATCACATTAAGAATGACTGCTGCAATCTCTGTGCAAGAAAAACAAAAGAATATGAACACCAGCGGCAGCCTGTGAAACATTAAAATAGTCCACAAACTCAGCCATCATCGAACGGGAAATGGGGAGCAATCATGCAAATGAGCGTGTCAGATATTAACATATCAAGGGGCCCTAATGGGGCCAATTAAGCGGGTCTTGTAATTACAGTCTGAGTGGAAGGTCATTCACCTCTGTTATCATGGGGAAGAGATAGCAGGAAAGAGAAGATAACTCTTGTTAATCTCAGGTGCCTATGTGCCAATTTATTTGCTCTATTTATCCACAAATCTTAGAGATGAAGCCATTTCTGAGTCATTTTTAAATTTGGTAAGTCTGTTTGCATTCATAATACAATATAATGATAAATAAATGCTGAATGTGCAATCTCTTTGAATTAGTCTTTAACTGCACTGGTTTTAAGGTCCATTCACACAACATACTATATCAATAACTATATTAGCGTCCACACCAATGCACAAAAATCTGTTTAATATACACTCGCACTGCAGTTATGTCACTTTGAACGCTCAAACTCAAAACTATATCTTTACAGTTATCGTCCTTGGCTTACCCACGGGGATCATGTCATTCTTAATCATAGTAATTGATCTTGGTACGGAAGAGTGCCAGGACTGGTGGTGCATTTACAAAACATACAGATCTGCTTTTACAATCACTATGATGAACAAATCATCCAAAACTAGCTTGTCTAAACTTAAACTTAAACATTTCCAAATGAAACAGGATATGTAATGAGAAAAAAATAGACTTCATAGATTTTTAAATGTGGGTGTTTTATACCATAATGCAGTCAGACTGAATGTGTGTGCTTGTTAAAGAGATAGTTCATCCAAAAAAGGAAATAATCATGAATGTCGTAATTTACTCACTCTCAAGTTGTTCCAAACCTGTACGAGCTTCTTTCTTCTGATGAACATAAAAGATGATATTTTGAAGAATGTGGATAACTAAACAGCTTCTGGTCTCCACTGGCTTCCATAGTATTTTTTCTATACTATGGACGTAAATGGGGACCAACAATTGTTCGGTTATTATACCCATATTCTTCAAAATATCAACTTTTTTGTTCAGCAGAAGAAAGAAGCTCATACAGATTTGGAACAACTTGAGGGTGAGTAAATTATGACAATTAAAATTTTTGGGTGAACCATACATTTAAACCAATAACTATATAGCAGCTCTTTGGCTTTTGGTTACATTAACGAATACCCTGTATAGACTAAGGGATGTCAGCAGAAAAAGAATGTTCTATCAGAGAAAAATTAATAGATTTATACAGACTTTGTGAAATTATTCATTTTAAGAAATAAAGCATTAAAGGGGTCATATGATGCTGCTAAAAAGAACATTATTTTGTGTATTTGGTATAATGAAATGTGTTTATGCGGTTTAAGGTTCAAAAAACATTATTTTCCACATACTGTACATTATTGGGGAAGTCGGGGCCTAATGGTTAGATAGTCGGACTTGTAACCCAAAGGTTGCAGGTTCGAGTCTCGTACCGGCAGGGATTGTAGGTGGGGGGAGTGAATGTACAGCGCTCTCTCACACCTTCAATACCACGACTGAGGTGCCCTTGAGCAAGGCACCGAACCCCCAACTGCTCCCCGGGCCTATCAGGATCAGGAAACAGTCCTCCATAAAATGCACAGGACACATCTGAATATTTGGGTTAAATTGTTCTGGAGCAGTGTTGTAAATACAACTTAACCACTGATTTCTAGTCGTGTCCTCTTTTGGAAGTCCAAACAAAGTGCGGCGTTATGCAAATCTTCCCACATCGTGACGTAGACATGTGGGGGCGTGTTAGAACGAGCTTAGAAAGAGCACCTCAAAAACATCATAAAAATAGTCCACATGATTTAGCCTTATGAACTAATATGAAAGTTTTGAGTGACGAACAGACAGAAAAACAGCACATGAGTTCTTTGGGCCACTTTTATGACACTTTAATGGTCTGTTTTGATCATTTTTGGAGACATTTATTTTTAGTGCATTTAAAAGTGCATTTAAAAACATGACAGTTTTTATTTCTGGCCAAACTATTCCATTAAACAAGCTAACAACATTATTACTGTCTGGTGCAGTAAAGAAGTAAGGGTGGGTCATGTGCAGCAAATGACAGTGGTGTATTTGAGGGGTTTTATTGCATCCCAGGGGAGGCAGAGGGGCATTGTGGGGCAGAGGAGTGCTGGGCGAGACAGGGGCGACGCTGCTGAGGCAGATGGAGTCTGGGGGCGATCTTTGATTCTGACACCAGTGCAAGTCTCACTCCGCAGCTGTTCTTCCACAGTGGCATCCACCATTAGACAGGGTTCAGAAAGGGTTCACAACACACACGATTTCTTTCACCATCTGACCTCATTTCTATTTTAATACTGCCACACTAAAGTGCTTCAGTTTCTGCAAAACAACCTCAGAAAAACACTTTTTCAGAAGCTATTGATCTTGAAACACCGAGGGGGGAATTCACTAAACAGTTGAGTCACTTTTGCATGCAATATTTCAGTGCAAAGCACAATGTTTTATCCACTAAACACCCACAATCTCATTTAAGGTGACACTTTACAGTAAGGTTCCATTCGTTAACATTAGTTAACTACATCAGGTAACATAAATGAACAATTCAAACGCATTTATTAATCTTAGTTAATGTTAATTTCAATATTTACTAATACATTACTTTGTAAAGCAATGTAACTATCTGTTAACAATATTTAATGGACTTGAGCTGACATGAACTAACAATGAATAGGCTAGATGTATTGACTAATGTTAACAAATAATTAATCATTTAAATTAGAGCCCCGACCGATATGGGTTTTTTGGGGCCGATATCGATATATCGGCCGATATTCTTTCATGACTTACACTGATCATACAAAAACCTCAGTTAATTATTAATCCTGGGTAGTCAGGATTCAAGATTTCATAGTGTACTTTATAAACCCTGGGTTAATGTTTTGGTTTCGCATATTTATGAGGTTAATAACACTGACAAATACAGACCATAACCTGTTTTAATAACGGCTTATCCATTTGTGGAAATGCCACAAATAGAAACTTGAATAATCAAATGAAATAGAAAAGACTAGACTAGACTAGACTATGCTTTTTGCCTGAAATTCTTAACCCAGGGTCATTCTTTACCCTAAAAACATAATCCTGAATTATCTTTTTTCATATTTCACAATATTGTGCATTAGTCAGGTTTTGAGATTTCATACTGTACTTTTGAGGTTAATAACACTGATTGGACAAATTCAGCTGATAACCAGTTTTAATAACTACTTTTCCATTTGTGGAAATGCTGCAAACAGAATCTTAATCAATCTAACAGAATGCAAAAGAATAGAATATATCTAATTGAATAGAACATACAATAAATAAAACAAAATAAATATAATATTAATTAAACTGCATTGAATCTAATCGGGGAAAAAACAGAACAGAGTAGAATGAATAGAATCTTATGAAATCAAACTGTCTTGAATAGAATGAACATAATGTGAATTTAGCCAACTGAATCTTTACTAAACTGAACAGAATTTTTTTAAATAGAATGTAATTAACTAGAATGCAAATTAATTGAACAATCTTTACTAAACTGAACAGAATTTTTTTATGTGAATTTAGCCAACTGAATCTTTACTAAACTGAACAGAATTTTTTTAAATAGAATGTTGTTACGTACGCTGTGCTATGTCAGCTTGCTTATGTATATGTTATTGTATGGGTGCGTTCGTATGTATGCTTTGTTTGTTCCAGATGCGAAGCTCATTGGCCAAATGTAATTAACTAGAATGCAAATTAATTGAACAATCTTTACTAAACTGAACAGAATTTTAATTAAATTGCATAATCTAATAAAATAAAACAACAGTCTACTAAACTGAATAGAATATCACCAAATCAATTGTCTTGAATAGAATGTACTTAAATATAATTGAATCAAACATAATATTGATTAAGCTGAACAGAATCTAATCAAATAAAATGTAAAGGATAGAGTAATAGATATCAGAAGCACAAAAACTCTGTTCACGCTTATGTGTTTGCACTTTTGAGCTTTTGTATCATCTGTAAAAAGTGGTGCTCCGGCGGGAATGACGCAATTGTACAAGGATCATCATCCCTCTATTACTTCATACTGATGTGAAGATAAGATGATTTACTGTGATAACACTATGGCAGTCTGGTGGAAATCCTTGAGACTAGGAATGTAACGATTAACCACGAGCTGGTTGAAAATCGATTCAAATATGTGACGGTTCAAATTAGGGCTGTCGCGATTCATCGATTTTATTCGACTATTCAATTTTTTAAAATCCTCGACTTCATTTTGCTCGAGTCGACCAATCGGCAAAATACCGGAAGTGGCACATTTCACAGACGAGAATGTATAAAACACATTATTAGTCTGTTTTCCAAGGCTGCATGATATATTAAACCCATTTAAAAATCATAATTAAGCCTAATTGTGAATTCACAAACAAAAAAATTCAAAATAAAAGCTCAAACCCTCACTCTGAGTTTACACGTTTTGATGTTCACATATTCATTTAATTAAAGTGGCTATAGCATTTCTGTCCTAAAGAAATGGCCAAATATTAAAGATTAAGTGGACATTTGAATGAAATGGTGCTTGGTCAATATTAAAGGGGTCCTATTATGCTTTTTCACTTTTTAAATTTTAGTCAGTGTGTAGTGTGTATGTTTGGGCATAAAAAAGATCTAGAAAGTTACAAATCTCAAAGTCCACTCCAAAGGGAGATATTTTGTTTTTAAAAAAAATCCCTTTTCAAGAACTACAACGAACGGCTCGTTTGGACTACAGCATTTGTTTCCGGGCTTTGTGATATCACAAAGCGGCTCACAAATGAGGACAATAGAAGCAATTAAAACCAACAAAAGAGCAATAATATGGAAGTGCTATATTAGTATATTATTATAGTGTTATATTTCAATTTCACAAAGAAACTTGTAGCATTTTGTCCAAGCTATAATAAAAGGACATTTAATTTATAATTTGTCTTAAATCTCATTTTGTTAAAACAAAATCGTGAATCGAATCGAATCGAATCGTGAGTTGAGCAAATCGTTACATCCCTACTTGAGACTGGTTGAGTGACAATGTTTCCATTCTATTTCTCAAAGAACACTGACTTGACATGATGACAGACGATCATTTCAAGAAGATGAAAAGGAACAAAACTACAAACAAAGTTTAAAGGAAGTAAGCTAGAGAAAAGTGATATGAGGCTAGCTGTGAGAGAAAACCCCATCTATCTAAATATTTGAAACAACAAAACCCAGAAGTGCAAATCAATGATATCATTCAATCCAAAGCCAGCCTCCAACAAACAGTGATGTATACACACACATTTTGTACACACAGACCACAGACGCTAAATCCAGCCACGGTCTCTGTACCAAAACTTCCCATGAACACCACCATGAAGTAATACACCAACAACTGTAAATATAAACTTCATCTAAACTCACAATCTTTTGTTTTAATGAATACTGACAGGCTTTAATGTAATGTTGTTTGATGTAATCTGTCTTTGACATCATGAATCAAGAGCTCCACATGTGGAAAAGGTTTCTCAGGGCTGTTGCGTGATTGTGTGTTTGCACTGATGTTCTGCTGGCAGGGCCAGCTGGAAGAAGCCTCTGATGGGAGACATAGAGGGGATTTCCCCAGCGCTGCACCACACATCACCACTAAAGCATTCAACAAGATCAGAGCAACACGCGCTCCTCCGTCTCGACTACCAATATACCTGTGTGTCCCTGCCTGTTTGGCACAAACACATTGAAACATTCAAATAAGCAGGCTGAATCTCTTAAATCTGGGCCATATTTCACCCCTAAATTCCACAGGGGAAAAAAAGAAATTATTTGCATAAAGAAAATGAATCTTACATTTTTAGAGTCATTTTTATTTTGTGTTATTATTTTCATGACAATTAAAAGGATAGTTCAACCAAAAATGAACATTTTGGCATAATTTACTCACGCTCAAGTTGCTTCAAACCTGTATGAATTTCTTGCTTCTGTTCAACCCAAAAGAAGATATTTTGAAGAATGTCGGTAACTAAACAGTTGCTGGTAACCATTGACTTCCACAGTATTTTTTCCATACTATGGAAATCAATGGGCTTCAGCTCCCTGCATGCTCACTGGCCGTGCCAAACTGTATATATCCATGCAGTGCAGCGCAGCACTGCTTAAAATTATCGACAATTTGGGAGTAAATAAGAAACATGCATGAATGAGAAAATAAAGCACGGGATGTGCTAGATGTTAAAAAGAGTTATTAAGCGCAATAAACCTCAAAAAAGAACTCGCATGCTTTTTAAGGGGGAGAAAATGCTCAAAAAGCAGGGCAGGAACACTGGTCAAGTGAGAGATTTCTTTCCTTTCTTTTAAATTAATTTTGTCATGGTATCGGTTCAGTAGTAGTATCGAGATATTTTACTCGGGTATCGTATCGAAGTCAAAATTTTGGCATTGTGTCAACGCTAATCTGAACACAATGATTATTTACATCTGCATATTAAAAGACAGGACAACAAATGCTAGTCATATTTTAATAATATATCATTATTTTCTGCATTATGGTAATGATAATAAGATTGTATTTTACATTACGGTAACACAAACTGATGGTAAAATGTGCTTAGCTGACATGAAAATGATGCCTCAATGCAAAACATTCTAAAAAAGGTGACATTTTCTTTATGCAAATATCATTTCTTTTTCATTTTGAGGTGAAATATGACCGCACATTTTTGACTAGCTTCATGAGACTCACCTCAAACCGTTGTGCCCTATTGAAACACACGGAGTTAATGTTCAACAAGAGAATAATTCCGATGATGTAAGTTTCAGAGGTGTGTTTGTGTTTGCTTTTTGCTGTGGTAACTGTGCCACCATGTCATTATTGTGGCCTTTGTAGACAAGGACACCGCACACTTCACAGTGATACTGTTTGGAATCCTCAGTTTTCAGTAGTACTTATTAATGAATCAAAAAATAGTCTTAAAAAAACTACAAACCTTGTGAGTTCTTGTGCTGTCCGGGTCCATTTTGGAGACCGCCATCTGTCAAAATAGCCACAAAGTCAAGAGTATTAAAATGACAGAAGTACATTTCATACATTTGTATGAAATTTTTATCACAAAGATGTGTTTATAGCTTGTTCAAGTTGTTATGAAATGTGATTGTTACTATTATTTTTCTATGACAAGCATGCAATCAGTGGTCTTGAACTGTATTATTTCAAGAGTGTCATTGAAGTTTATTACTGATAAACTTCATCTGAATGTAATCCTCAATAATAAATGACACCATAGCCAGTGTTGTCCTGCAACAACAATAACAATGCAACATTTCCTCAGGATTCAGCTGTGCTTCTCTTTGTTCTCATAATGCGGTGTGCATTAAAAGAGCTCTAGCATGTCGCAGGTCAATATGCAGAAAAAAGCGTCACAATCACCTTTGATGATGTAAGTTTCAGCACTGACAGGTCATTAACCTGTCAATTTCTAGAATGGGTAACTTTGACTATGCAGTGTTTGATATCATAATATATCAAACAATATATTATTATATATTTTATATATATAATATCTTATATATATCTAATAAATATAATAATTTTTACCATGTTTTTACCATGTCCCCTGGTACAATGCACTAAATTTCAAAAAGATAAACAGGCAATTTATGTAGAAATATTCTTTTGCTGTTTATGTATTGATTTGTAACATCTATGAGAACTGCTGAGGCATTTTAACACAACAGAGCTTTAAAAACAAATTATCCCAAGATGGGCCAAGTTAGAAATGTGTTTAAACATGTTTCTGTAGTCGTGTCTCTTTTTTTTTTTTTTCACTGTTCTCTGAGGAACTGTTTACAGGAAGTGTGTATGCTATGAGGGGGAAGAAGCCTGTGTGTGAGACCAGGAGAGAGAGAGAGGACAACTTACCCATGTTTACTGTCATCATCCGGAAGTGACCCTAGTGAACTCGAGCTGAGTGCTCGACTCCTTTCATCAGGGAAAATCTCCACTCTGCAAACACAACATAAACAGAGTCAATTAGTAAATTAGAGACATAATTAACTTGAAATACTAACAAACAGACGAAAATGGTACAACGAAAACTTACAAGCATCTGCCAATGCTTCAACATCACAGAGGATTTACATAACATTCATGGTTCAGTGTGTCTCCACCCAATTGCAAAATTTACAGAAAATGACTCTCAAGTTCAATGACAATGATGATTTTTGATGATGAAGTTTATTCAAAATACATTAAGAATGCATTATAATATGTTAAGAATACAATTCCCTGCCCTGATATTATAAAGAGAAAAGCCTCAAAAAACAATCTTAAATTATTATTATTTTAAATTCTAACTATTATAATTTTATTATATTATATTTTTAATTTGCTATTTTATTATATTATTTTATTATATCTTTTTATTAAAACATATTTTTCCAATATATACAAAGTTGTGTGATATCATAGAGAGGACACCTGCAAATATTACAAATTACATTTACAAATCAATATTTTGTAATACTTACAAAAAGAAAAGGAAAACAATATTTTAAAGATATTTAAAATTTATTTTGAAAATGATTATTAAGATTTGTAGACATATTTATAAGGAAAATATGTTATTCCTTTTGGTTTGTGGTTTTAAACCAGATTTTTAAAAGTCACTGACTCAAGTATATCTGTACTAATCACCTGCCTCAATAAAAAAAAATCATCTTGGGATAATTTCATAGCACAATTAATTTTTTTCCCAGAAAAAATTCTAAGAAAATGTGATTGTTTGTGATATGGCCCCTTTAAATAACACATTTGTCGCATTATGTCACAGTGCAGTTCTATTCATAACGGCCCACTGTAATAAATCATAACTGGCCATAGACAGTGTGTCTGACTGCCAACAGCAAACGCAGCCATCATCTCCCAGTCTTATATCATGTCATTCTTCAGATGAGAGAGACACTCGTGGTGTCTTTAAAGACAGAAAGTGCCCTCTTGCCCTTGAGACATTGTTAAGCCACATCGAGCGGGATAAAAGTGGAGGGAATGCTAAAGGTAGCGACCACGGAGCTCTTCAAAGACGAGTCGGAGAGCTTTTAACGCCAGACAGCGAATCTGTCACCAGCAGCCACAGGCTAATCGGAGAAAAAAATTTCGTATTCTGACACATGAAAGGCAAGACAATGAGATCAGTTTTTTTTCTCCATTTATAATTGTCAGCTTCATGCAACAATATTGACAAGTTGCCCGGAGATACCACAAAAAGAAGAGCAATTACGGTCGTCAGAAAAGCACAAAAGAGCCCTGAACTCAACAGGGTCAAAGTACAAGAGTGCTAGCGACAAGGTTCCGAACATTTGCACGGAAAATAGCTACACAAATTGGAGCAATCTGTTTCTGCCTGTAAAAAAACTGAGCCAAATATAGCGGCGGTGCTGTGGAGAGGCTGTTCTCTCTTGATGGCTCTTGTAGTGATTATGTCAAATTAACTAGCTGGAAAAGATGAGCCTTGAGTAAACAGCACTTTCTGTGGCTGATGGGATGTGATTTCAAAAGCAGCTGAAGTTAAAAGGGGTTGACATGACAAGCTTCTGTCTAGGGTGTCATATACAGTACTATACGGTTAAAAAACATCAGGCTGTCTTAAATGTAGGTAAAATGTAACTACAACATGATTCAAGTAACTTTTTCTTTATTAACCCTCTAGTTAAAAAAAATGTTATTCCAAGTGCACCACACGTGAACTTGTCAACATTAGGGATGTAACGATTCACTCAACTCACGATTCGATTCGATTCGATTCGATTAACGGTTTTGATTTCACGATTCGATTCACAATTTTTTTTTTACAAAATGAGATTTAAGGCAAATTATACATTAAATGTGTCCTTTTATTATTGCTTGGACAAAATACTGTACGTTTCTTGTCAACATGATGTAAATGTTAAACAAATCACTTGTTATATATCTTTGCAGAAAAGATGCATGAACTACAACTTCATCTTGTACAAACTTGTCTAATACGTATTATATGTTCAGAAATAATACAAGGAAAATGCTTTAAAGGGGTCATATGATGCTGCTAAAAAGAACATTATTTGGTGTATTTGGTGTAATGAAATGT